GGGCGTTACCTTTGTGGCATCCAAAGAAACTCTGACCTGCATCTTTTCTCTGCTTTTGAGCTGAAAGTTAAAGGTGAGCATTCATAGTAACATCTCATTATATCAACAGACAGAAAACACTGCTTTCTGTAAAATTAATAAAATTATCTTTTTGACAGACCACTGCTGTGATACTGTGACCAATATTGAAAGTTATGAGGGATACTCTGAGTCCATAAATTGTCCTTATGAGAATCAGTACCAGAGCAGCCTGAAGTACGTCTGCAGAGGAAACCGGCCCTCCACGTGTCTGCAGCGGGCGCTAATCACCTCTAACAACAAACAAAGTGGACGATTCAGTCTTAATGATATAAAAATGTCAAGCATATTCACAGTGACAATTAGCAGCTTGACCCAAAGTGATTCAGGGCATTACCTTTGTGGTGTTCAAACAAACTCTGACCATGATGTTTTCTCTGCTGTTGAGCTAAGAGTCAAAGGTGAGAGGTCATAGTAATATCTCATTATACCAATCAAAAGAAAACAGCGTCTTCGAAAAGACTCTTTAAAAAAGTTGAATATTTTATGAGTCTTTAATAGTTTTTCTCTTTCAATCTGACAGAGTGGTGCTGTGTCACGTCAACTGAAATAACAGGTACTGTGGGACAGCCACTAACTCTGCAGTGCCCTTATCCTTCACAACATCGGGATAACAGGAAGTTCCTCTGTAAGGGAGACCACCGCAACAGCTGCAGAGACATGGTGATGAGTGAAAGCAGATTCGCACTACAAGGCGATATTTATTCCAGCTCTTTCTCAGTGACGATCACAAAGCTAGAAGAAGAAGATGCTGGGACATACTGGTGTGGGTCAGACTCACAGTGGAGAGTTGGAAACTATGTTAAGATTCAGCTGACAGTCGGTGAGATGAACACATTTAAATGAAGGAAAATGGACAGAGCTATGAGTTACTACTATTTAAGCATACACTACGGCTGGTGATTCAGTTATTTCTAGTGAGATAGAATTATGACAACTATGCCCTCATAGTGTTTCACACAAAGCACAGAATATATGCCAAACAGAACTAGAGGCCAGTTTTTGTTTAACCTTCTTTACTGCCTGGTTTGCTACATAAATGAATAAATAAATAAAATAATTAATTAATGATCTAATTGATCTCATTTCAGTTGTGTGAATAGTTTAAGATTCTTGGGGTATCAGTCAGGACCCTCTGCACTAGTCATTCTACTAAAATGTGATTCTTGTGTTAAAATAAAGTTTCTAAGGGAACTAAGAGGG